AAAGGGAGGTGGTGCCCAGGCTGAGCACGTCCAGCCACCTGCTTTTATAGGTGTGGGGTGACTGAGGGCCTAGGAAGGGGTGAGCCCCACACACACACTCCATCCCTGTGACAATGGGAACCACTGGGGTGTGAGCCCCACACACCCACCTCTCAGGCACTGTGCCCCATGGAGGTGTGACCCCACACACCCACCTCTGTGGCACTGTGCCCCAATGGGGTGTGAGCCCCACACACCCACCTCTGTGGCACTGTGCCCCACAGAGGTGTGAGCCCCACACACCCACCTCTCAGGCACTGTGCCCCATAGAGGTGTGACCCCACCTCTCAGGCACTGTGCCCCACAGAGGTGTGACCCCACACACCCACCTCTCAGGCACTGTGCCCCACTGGAATGTGAGCCCCACATACCCACCTCTGTGGCACTGTGCCCCACAGAGGTGTGAGCCCCACACACCCACCTCTCAGGCACTGTGCCCCACGGAGGTGTGAGCCCCCCGCTCCCCCGGCTGGCACCCCCAGCCCCTCTCACACGTGGCTGTGCCCGCGGGCTGTTTACAGCTCCCACACACCACCCCCTTTGTGCCCCACTGAAAACCCCCAGTGTGCTGCACACCACTGTACATTTACGCCGTTGTTTTTCCCCTCAGTAAGGCAGTAAATGACCTTTTATTCAAACAACAATTCCTAAAACAGAACGCGGCCCCGGCGCCGTGGTCAGATGTGCGCTCGAGGCAGGGTTTGTTATTCAAGCAGCAGCCAGGCTGTGTGCTATGCAAACAAACCCCACGCTCTGTTCTCCCAACCTCCTGCTGACTTTGCAACTAATTTTGTTAGCAAGGAGAACACACTGCGAGACATCAATGCAGCAAAGAGCCCGGAGACGTTTGTTCATAACTTTGTAACAAACATTGATCAATCGATTTTTCGCCCGTGTGGGGAGGGAAAAGCTCACAAACAAAACAAAACACATATGGAGAGATTTTTTTTAATGGCACAAAGGGCAATTAGGCACCCAACCTTCCAGCGCAATGAGATTCCTTACAGTCCTCTGTGCTTTTAAGTCTTCCCCTTATTGCTCAATGGAAGCAAAATCTACTGTCAAGACTCCAAAGGAAGAAAAAAATCAGCTGGAACCAAGAGAATGGTCGGTGGGCCTGGCGCAGCATCTCTGAACCCAGCAGAACAAAGACAGGTGAAGGTCCTGGCCAAGTGAAGAACACCCTACTCCACATGTACAGCCTTTGGTAGCACGGATCAGATCGATGTAAAAACATCAAAACACAGAACACTAATTACCTATCAAAAATAATTAAGTGTTCTGTAAACAGCAGAACATGAGCATATTTACCCAGCCACATCTCCTTCGGGCTGACACCCACTGCTCCAGCAGCACTGAGGGACCCCAGAGCTCTCACCTGCCAGGCAGGCTCCCACCACTCACCTGCACAGCACCTCGGGCCACACTGGGGTTGTCCAACGGCCTGGAGATGCTGCAAGCACACAAACCCACCTGGAAGGTGAACTTCCACAGCAGATACACCCTGCCTGGAAAGCAGAACAGCTCTGACACAGCAGGACCAGGGAAAGCACCCCTGCCTGGAAGAGGCCAGGGCTGCCAGAAACAGCTCCAGGGAAAACAGCTTTTGGATTCCAGATACAACAGTAGCCAATGGAGAAGAGAGACGAAGCACAGCTTCCAAAGTTTACTCTTGCAGCCTAACTAATAGTTCACGACACAGTTCCTTGGCAAGTAGCTGTGACCTTATTTCTCCTGTGAAAAAAGCTCTGAGGTTGCACTGACACAGTTGATCACCTGCTCATTAGCAGCTCCCTGAGCAGGGAAATGCCCCAGGAACCCACGCACTGTGTGGCTGCTCCCAGTGCTCAGCAGAGTGCTCAGGGAAGGCATCTTCCCAGACTGTGTCCCTCCTGCAGCTG